AGTTCAGGCAAAGATTGAGGCGATCATGACGTTCCCATCTCCAGTTACACGACGCAGCCTTCAGCGGTTCCTCGGAATGGCTGGGTATTGTCGCACGTTCTGTCGGAACTTTTCTGCTGTAGCGGCCCCACTCACAAACCTTCTGAGTCCAAAATCTCAGTTCATCTGGTCTCCGGAGTGTCAACACTCCTTCGACTCCATAAAAAATCTCTTAGTTAGCGCACCAGTTCTTGCGGCTCCACATTATGAACATCCGTTCAAGTTGGCCGTAGATGCGAGTGATGCAGGAGCGGGTGCTGCTTTACTCCAAGATAGTCTGGATGGAATGGAACACCCAGTCTGTTATTTTTCCAAAAAGTTTCTAAAACATCAGACTAATTATTCCACAGTTGAGAAGGAGGCGCTCTCTTTGATTATGGCCCTCAAACACTTTGAAGTTTATGTTGGGTCCTCACACTATCCGGTCACTGTGTTTACGGACCACAACCCTTTAGTGTTTGTTAATCAAATGAGGAACTCCAATCAGAGGCTAATACGTTGGGCGCTTTTCCTGCAGGATTTTAACATTGTTGTTCAGCATGTTGCAGGGAAGGACAACGTTGTCGCGGACGCCCTTTCCCGGGCTTCCTCACCGTGCTGACCAGTGAGGCCTCTGGTCACCTTTTAGGGGTGGGGGTGTTACGCGCCCAGCTATGGGATTGCGCGCACTCCTCCCCTCACTCTAACCTTTTCTCTGTGCAGGTTAGGATTGGTTGAGTGTCTGCGCTGGGACTTTAAGAGGGGCGTCCCAGGCAGCACTCTCGCTCTCTCCAATTGCAGACACCTGGACCTGTCCACAGGGTCTGGGCCTGCACTCCACGCCGCCAGCCACGCCGCTCCACACTTTTACACTTGCACCATTTACACATAAGGTTATCACACTGATACTCATTCGCACACACGCACCCCAGCACATCCCAGACCATTTACACTGATTCCACATTATTGTTTAAATAAAACGGCCAGTGAGCCATCAAAAGTCTTTGCCGTGTTCTCCCTCCTTTTTGTTGCCTCCCCTTGAGCCAAGGGGAACGTAACAGTTGTGATCTCTGATCTCTGCCAGGCAGAAAGGTACAAAGATGTTTATTCTGGGGCTCAGTTTATTGCCCTGGTTGACACTTATGGTCTCGTTGACCTGGTCGTCCCTTAGATGTGGCTCAGGATGGGTCATGCTCAGGAGGGCATGTTTACGTATCCTGGTCTGCTGGTCAGCGTCCGACTGGGTGTCCTTTAATTCACCTTACACCATGTTAGCAGAGATTATTGTCAAGTAGATCAACAACGACACGAGGAAAAAAAAATATCGGAGACGTCCGTAGTCGGCAAAAAGTGTGAGTTGAAAATAAGCAGGGTTTTGCGTCACATTCTTCATCACTAACTCAATAAAAAACATACAACATTTACATATTAAACAAATATTTCAGACAGTATTGGGTTTAGTCTTGTTCATAAATACCGACTGAGACACAGACCAAACCCTCAAGGTTTTTATAGTTGAAAAGAAGCGTGTCCCTCCCACAGCTCAGATCCAGCCTCCTGAAGTAACTTTAGTACTTTTACCCAACTCCTGTTGAGAGTAGTTTTCAGACTTGAGTTGTATATTTGACATTTACACATTTGTAAATTATTAGAGGTTTTAAGTATAAAGTTTTTATAATATCACGTTGAGAATGGAAATACTCATAACAAGAAAGTGACAATTTGATATAATTTTTTTATGTGTGTGTGTGAGTGTGTGTCTATGTGTGCGTGTGTGTGTGGATGTGTGTTTGTGTGTGAGTGTGGATGTGTGCACTTGTTCTCAACTCCTAGTGGGTTCCATAACCTGAGATTCCACTCACGTCATGGGGACTGGTTTTACGTGGTGGGGCCCGAACACCGGACCCCACTGGTCCAAGCTTAATAATCAATGGGTAATGCTTTTCTTACGGTCCTTATGCAGTCTCTGTAAAAATATGGAAAGGACCCCTGGAGGTTTACTTTCCTGAAAAAAGTGTGTTATGTGTCGGAACCCTGGTGGTGGATTGCGGGATATCAAGGAGGGGCACACTGGGGCAATTTCAGTCCAGCAGGCTGGAGCCAATCATGGAGCAGCACAACAGAGGAAGTCAGGTGTCAGGCTAGAAAAGGTGCAAGTGTGTGGTTCATTAGGCTGCAAGAAATCATGGAGGAGCACACTGAAGCGCACGCTTACAAACCACTGGTAAGTGCTGACTACAAGTCATGACTTCAAATTGTTATATAGAATGATTACAAATTATTTGTTGTTTGTGCAGCTTAGTCAAGAGTCCCTAATTGTTGAAGTCGACTCAGATTCTGACGATTTAACTGTCAAGAAGACACCTGTAAAAAAGTATGGAAAAAGAACAATCAAAAACACTTTTCTTCAAGACTCGGAAAGTGACGAACCAAAGGCAAATAAGATTGTTATCATGCTGCTGCAAAAGAAGAAAAATGGGGGGAGAGTTTACAGCAAGAGGCACTTCTGCCTCTACTGTTCAATGTCCTGCCACAAATGTCCCGTCATTTCTCTAGAAAACATGGAAATGAAAGTGACATAGCCAGAGCATTGGCTCTACCTGTGAAATCTAAAGTACGTAAACTTCAGTTTGATTTGATCAGGAATAGTGGAAACCGTGAGCACAATTTTGAGGTTTTAAAGGCCGGCATTGGAACTTTAGTCCCAGCTAAACAGCCAAATTCCCCAGTTAAATCCAGTGAGTTTTTTCACTGTATAGACTGTGGGGCATACGTAAACTTCAGTTTGATTTGATCAGGAATAGTGGAAACCGTGAGCACAATTTTGAGGTTTTAAAGGCCGGCATTGGAACTTTAGTCCCAGCTAAACAGCCAAATTCCCCAGTTAAATCCAGTGAGTTTTTTCACTGTATAGACTGTGGGGCATTGCTTAAGCGAAAGTGGCTGTGGAGGCATGTGGCCAGGTGCCGGCTTTCACAGAAAGATGCCCAGGCTAAACCAGGTAGAAGTAGGGTCCAGTCCCTCTGCTCCCTAGCCCAGCCTGTACCGGAGGGCATCAGCAAAAAGCTGTGGTCTTTAATTTCGGCAATGCATCAGGATGAGGTCACGGGTGTTGTCAAAGCAGAAAAGGGGATTCTGAGACTCGGAGAGCACCTGTACTTACACGGGCATGATAAGACTAAGCATGATTACATTAGGCAGAAAATGAGAGAAGTCGGTAGGTTAATTAACAAAGCAAAAACGGCAGGGAAACTGAAAACAATTAAGGATTTCTTTATTCCTTCCAACTTTAACCATGTGATTGACGCAGTCAGGTCTGTGGCTGGATATGATGAGGAAACAAATCAATACAAGACTCCATCCTTGGCCCTCAAACTCGGCCATAGCCTCAGAAAGCAGATATTCTTGAATGTGACTCAAAAATGGAGCATTGTGTTGATGAACTATTTATTAATAACCTCCAATGAAGCCGGCTGCTTTTTGAGAAGAGGTGGGACGTCTGTGTTTCTTCTGCTGCCCTACAGACCCTCCGGCAAGCCAAGTGGAACACTCCGGACCTGCTCCCTCTGACTGAGGACGTTAGAGCCATGCATGCACATATTGAGGTATGTCGACCTGAATATGTGCAAACCCTAATAAGTGAGCCAACGTCTAAGCATTGGTCTAAACTGGCAGTTTTGACTCTTTGTGAGGTCATCATTTTCAATCGAAGAAGGGAAGGTGAGGTTTCAAAGATGCCACTGACAGCCTTTACCTTAAGAAGTAAGACTGGGATCCATTCTGACATTGCTCTGGGACTGTCCCAACTTGAGAAAAAGCTGTGTCAGCATTTTCAACGCATTGAAATTAAAGGGAAAAGAAGTCGGAAAGTGCCGGTTCTTTTGACTCCTGAAATGATTGCTTCGATGGAGGTGCTGGTGGAGAACAGAAGGGCCTGTTCCATCTCTGACCATAACCCATACTTCTTTTCCCGCCCGGGCGCAGACACCCACATCAGGGGATCAGACTCCCTACGCCAGGTAGCCAAAGAATGTGGTGCGGTGCATCCAGAGATGCTATCCTCAACCAAACTTAGAAAGCACATAGCTACTATGTCTACAGTTCTCAATATGAAAGAGAATGAGATGGACATACTTGCCAACTTCCTCGGCCATGACATTCGCATCCACAGGCAATATTACAGACTACCAGAGGGGACACTGGAGCTGGCCAAAATCAGCAAAGTGTTGATGGCCATGGAGCAGGGAAGAGTGACGGAATTCGAAGGAAAGAGCCTCGACCAGATACAAATTGAGCCTGAAGGTAATTCTTGATATTATTAAAATATGTATGATTTTTTTCCCCTAAAGGCCACTTGTATTTTTATTTTCTGTGCGACAGGGAGAGCAGTAGAGATCCTCTCACAAACGGACGGGCTAAAAGAAACTTCAAGCGGAGAACCTTCAACCATTCATCCAGATGCACCCCATGGTAGTGGCAGTGCCCCTTCTGGTAAGTGTACCAGGTGGGGGATTACAGCCAGGCTGCTTGGTCCTCACCCTGGGAGTGTATATTGCTAATATATTTTTATTTCTCTCCCTAGAACGTTAGAGAAAGCCATGGTCTGCATCTGAGGTGAAGGCTGTGGAGAAGACCATGACACCTTTCATACAGACTGGAAAGGTCCCTGGGAAGTCTCACCGCCTGGCCTGGCCTGGCCTGGCCTGGCCTGCATTAATGCCTCACCAGATGACCTTAGACATCGGACATGGAGTGGCATTAAATTCTATGTCAAAAATAGAATCACTGCAATTCGAAAACAAAATCTAAAATAAAAGTCCTTTAAAATAGTTGTTTGGTTTCTATTGACTGTTTTGTATTACTTAAAGTCTTGGTAAAAAAAGATTATGTCTATGGGTCCCATTCTGAACGGCCCTGTCAAAGGGACCCACCAGGTAACAAAAACGTGTATGTGTGTGTGTGTGTGTGTGTTCCTTTGTTACCGATGTCGTAGGCGAGGAAGTCTGCAGAGAAGCATTTGGCGCCGTTGCTCAGTGCCGTGTCGTTGTGTGTGTTTCCTCCAAAGACGAGCAGAGTCCCACTGAGCAGCACCGCAGAGTGAAGGTACCGAGGGAAGCCACTCTCCTTTAGGATGAACCTGAGAGGGGGAGAGAGAGGGGAGAGAGAGAGGGGAGAGGGGAGGAGGGAGGGGAGGAGGGAGGGGAGAGAGAGGGGAGGAGGGAAGAGAGAGGGGAGAGGAGAGGGGAGAGAGAGGGGAGAGGAGAGGGGAGAGAGGGGGGAGGGGAGGGGAGGGAGGGGAGGGGAGAGAGAGGGGAGAGGAGAGGGGAGAGGGGAGGAGGGAGGGGAGGAGGGGAAGAGAGAGGGGAGAGGAGAGGGGAGGAGGGAGGGGAGAGGAGAGGGGAGGAGGGAGGGGAGAGAGAGGGGAGAGAGAGGGGAGAGAGAGGGGAGGAGGGAAGAGAGAGGGGAGGAGGGAGGGGAGAGAGAGGGGAGAGGAGAGGGGAGGGAGGGAGGGGAGGGGGGGGAGGAGGGGAGGGGAGAGAGAGGGGAGAGGAGAGGGGAGAGGGGAGGAGGGAGGGGAGGAGGGAGGGGAGGAGGGAGGGGAGGAGGGAGGGGAGGAGGGAGGGGAGGAGGGAGGGGAGAGAGAGGGGAGGAGGGAAGAGAGAGGGGAGGAGGGAGGGGAGAGAGAGGGGAGAGGAGAGGGGAGGAGGGAGGGGAGAGGGGAGGAGGGAGGGGAGAGAGAGGGGAGAGGAGAGGGGAGGGGAGAGGGGAGGAGGGAGGGGAGAGAGAGGGGAGGAGGGAGGAGAGAGAGGGGAGGAGGGAGGGGAGAGGGGAGGGAGGGAGGAGGGAGGAGAGAGGAGAGAGAGGGGAGGAGGGAGGGGAGAGAGAGGGGAGGGAGGGAGGGGAGAGAGAGGGGAGGAGGGAGGGGAGAGGAGAGGGGAGAGGAGAGGAGAGGGGAGAGGAGAGGAGGGAGGGGAGAGAGAGGGGAGGAGGGAGGGGAGAGAGAGGGGAGGAGGGAGGGGAGAGAGAGGGGAGGAGGGAGGGGAGAGAGAGGGGAGGAGGGAGGAGAGAGGGGAGGAGGGAGGGGAGGAGGGAGGGGAGAGGGGAGGAGGGGAGGAGAGGAGGGAGGGGAGAGGAGAGGAGAGGAGGGAGGGGAGAGGAGAGGAGAGGAGGGAGGAGAGAGGAGAGGGGAGGAGGGAGGAGGGAGGAGAGAGAGAGAGGGGAGAGGAGAGGAGAGGAGGGGGGGGGAGGAGAGGGGAGGAGGGAGGAGGGAGGAGAGAGAGAGGAGGGAGGGGAGGAGGGGGGGAGGAGGGAGGGGGAGAGAGAGGGGGGGAGGAGGGAGGGGAGAGGAGAGAGAGGAGAGAGAGGAGGGAGGGGAGGAGGGAGGGGCGGAGGGAGGGGAGGAGGGGAGGGGAGAGGAGAGGAGGGAGGGGAGAGAGAGGGGAGAGGAGAGGGGAGGAGGGAGGGGGAGGGGGGAGGGAGGGAGGAGAGGGAGGGAGGGGAGAGGAGAGGGGAGGAGGGAGGAGGGAGGAGAGAGAGAGGAGGGAGGGGAGGAGGGAGGGGAGAGAGAGGGGAGGAGGGAGGGGAGAGGAGAGGAGAGAGAGAGAGAGAGGAGGGAGGGGAGGAGGGAGGGGCGGAGGGAGGGGAGGAGGGAGGGGGGAGGAGAGAGGGAGGAGAGAGAGAGGGGAGGAGGGAGGGGAGAGGAGAGAGGGGAGAGGAGAGAGAAAGAGAAAGATAAAGAGAGAGAGAGAGAGAGGTGAGATCAGCACACACTGTCAAAGCCCTTTAAATTATTTTCATTGTTCCCTTTGAGGTACACTGTATAAGCTTTATTTTATCTCTGAAGCCTCTGGAGCCTCTGAAGCCTCTGGAGCCTCTGGAGCCTCTGGAGCCTCTGGAGCCTCTGGAGCCTCTGGAGCCTCTGGAGCCTCTGGAGCCTCTGGAGCCTCTGGAGCCTCTGGAGCCTCTGGAGCCTCTGAAGCCTCTGAAGCCTCTGAAGCCTCTGAAGCCTCGGAGCCTCTGGAGCCTCTGGAGCCTCTGAAGCTTCTGAAGCCTCTGAAGCCTCTGAAGCCTCTGAAGCCTCTGAAGCCTCTGAAGCCTCTGAAGCCTCTGAAGCCTCTGAAGCCTCTGAAGCCTCTGAAGTCTCTGAAGCCTCTGAAGCCTCTGAAGCCTCTGAAGCAGTGACTCACCAGGTCCTGCTGTGCACATGGTAGCGGTACAGGTCGTCCACCAGGCCGTATTTATTTGCAGGTAAAGCCTTGTATCCTCCGTGAACGAACACGCTGCTGCTGGCGCCGTCGTAGGTGCTGCTGTGGCCGTACCCGCCCTGGGGAATGGCACCTTTGGTCTCAGGAACCAGCCACGTGTTGGACTCTGGCAACAAAATGGATTTATTAATAGAATTATTAACAGAATTATTCTTCTCTGATCATCCCGCAAGAATCAAGGACGGCGCTGACACAGTACTCAGTGCTCAAAACATGAATATTAACATTTACCAAAGTCTAAAACCAGGCACAGTTTTCATACAGACATGTTCGAGCACAGGGACTGGCCTCCTGCTGGGACTCTGGGACCAGCAGGAGGCCAGTCCCTGTGCTCCTAGATACAGGCAGTCCATAAAACCTGGGCCCACAAAGAAGACCTCCAGTTCCAGCCTCCGTGTCCCCATTCTTTAGCTCAGCGTCCATGACCCTCCAGAGCAGCTCCGTGGTTACATCTCACCGAGAGGCGGTGGCGGAGGCTCTGGAGGGTCCTTTACCGACATTTGGCAAACGCCACACACAGCGCCGAGAGTTGGTCATTTACACGCATTAATGATAAGATCCTCTGAGTCTGAGGGTTCTGCAGAGACTTCTTTGGAACTGACCCAGGAGACGACTGGAACGGATTCAATGAAAGATAATAATAATAATAATAATAATAATAATACGTTTTAATACAGCCCTTTCCAGGACGCTCAAACTCTCTTTACATCATGATTCTCTCTCTTTCCAAACACGGTGGTGATAAACTACTGACGCCACAGCTGCCCTGGGGCACACTGACAGAAGCGAGGCAGCCAGTCTGTGCCATCGGCCCCTCTCATCTGGCTTTTGCGTTCAAGTATGTAGCAGTAAAGCTTATGGTACATTCTTTTAAACTTGAACAAATGGAAGTCAGTATTTGAGACTTGAGGGTTTTTATTTTCACTTTTCTGTCTGAAAAAGCTGAAGATGTGAAAGAGATAGAACCATTGTTTGGTTCTAAAGTTAGGTTATTATCTGAATCCCTGTGTGTTTTATGTAAAGATACAGATTAATAGTTAAAGGGAAAGGGAGGGCCTCCTTTGCAGCTTTAATGATTAAACTCCAGAACCCCAAAAGAGCAGGACATGAGGAGGACTGGACCGTTCTGGGCCGTTATGGTCCGTTCTGGGCCGTTGTGGGCCGTTGTGGACTCACTGGGGCTGTACTCCTGGACGTTGCTGATGTAGCTGTAAATGGGAGAGTATCCGAAGACGACCAACATGACCATCTCTCCGTCCGGCAGCAGGACGCAGTGTGCGGAGTGACCCTCCACGGCGTATATCTGGCTGGGCCCCGGGACGGCCAGCACCGGGCTCCTCCTCAGCCACGTCCGGGTCACCGTGTTGAACGACCACAGCTCGTCCGTCACGTTCCCGGCGCCGCCCTCCAGCTTCCCCCCGTACATGTAGATCTCATCCTGGAACAGACCAGAGCAGAGAGGATTCATGGTTTTACACTGGTCCAGACCAGAGCAGAGAGGATTCATGGTTTTACACTGGTCCAGACCAGAGCAGAGAGGATTCATGGTTTTACACTGGTCCAGACCAGAGCAGAGAGGATTCATGGTTTTACACTGGTCCAGACCAGAGCAGAGAGGATTCATGGTCCATAGTTCCTCCGTCTCCGTGTGCCGCGCTCCTACAGGAGGCCGTGAGAATCTAAAATGGGGTTTTGGTGGTTCTGACCTGGAAGGCAGCGAGGGAGTGGCCGTATCTGGGCAGAGGGCCACTGTTGATGGGTGCTGTGTTCCAGGCGCCGCTCTCCAGGTTGTAGCTGCACAAAGAAACACCATATTAAACTTTAATCACACGTGCCTTTATGGCCTTCATTTACTTATGGGTCGCTAAGCATTATACCGGAGACACCAACAGTGCGGCTTTTATGACCACAAATGCTGCGGGTAATTACACAGAACACTGCACAGAACGGCTGCAAGAGTCAACGAGAGGGTGAGGTGGAGCACAGCTAACAAACTCTAAGATATTTAAGGTAAGGTGCTTTATTTGACCCACTGTGGGGAGATTTCAATGATAGAAAATAAGATGAACTCAATGTCACTTGGTTCAGGCGTTTACAGATGTGTATGTTGTACTTTAGCAGCAGAGAATATGAGCAGAATAATAAACAGTGATAATATCAGCAGGTGAAGTGACGAGTTAATTCATTAAATATGACTTTCTCAGAGTTAAAATCTAATCACATCCATGTCAAATTTGTTTTTTTGTTTCAGTAAAAGGGCACAACTCATGACTACAAATTCTTCCACATTTTGTCTTTACTTACTTGTCTGTAATATTCTGTTAAAGTATATTTATAGACCAGGATGACAAAGCGCTTCACAATTAAAAACATACAGTAAAAATTGTTCACAAGTCAGTTCCAAAAGCAAATATTCAGAATATTGAACACACTTCAGACAAATTCTTGTGTTTCCTGAACCTGGCCTGTAGGGGGCGCATGAGCAGAGTAAGGAAGTACTAAAAATATTTGGGCATTTTTGGAAAGAAAAACAGAAGAAATTGCTGCGTTTCATTGGGGTGGCCTGCAGGGGGCGCTTATCTGGGAAAGCCTTGATCCACCTCGCCCGCCACAGTTGGAACATGAACAAACTCTGTCTTTCTCTATTTGTGCGGTTGCTACAAGCGTACACCGCACAAAAAGATGGCTTCTTCTTCTACTATATCTCTGTGTATAAACCACTTCTTCTTCTACTATATCTCCGTGTATAAACCACTTCTTCTTCTACTATATCTCCGTGTATAAACCACTTCTTCTTCTACTATATCTCCGTGTATAAACCACTTCTTCTTCTACTATATCTCCGTGTATAAACCACTTCTTCTTCTACTATATCTCCGTGTATAAACCACTTCTTCTTCTACTATATCTCCGTGTATAAACCACTTCTTCTTCTACTATATCTCTGTGTATAAACCACTTCTTCTTCTACTATATCTCCGTGTATAAACCACTTCTTCTTCTACTATATCTCCGTGTATAAACCACTTCTTCTTCTACTATATCTCTGTGTATAAACCACTTCTTCTTCTACTATATCTCCGTGTATAAACCACTTCTTCTTCTACTATATCTCTGTGTATAAACCACTTCTTCTTCTACTATATCTCCGTGTATAAACCACTTCTTCTTCTACTATATCTCCGTGTATAAACCACTTCTTCTTCTACTATATCTCTGTGTATAAACCACTTCTTCTTCTACTATATCTCCGTGTATAAACCACTTCTTCTTCTACTATATCTCCGTGTATAAACCACTTCTTCTTCTACTATATCTCAGTGTATAAACCACTTCTTCTTCTACTATATCTCCGTGTATAAACCACTTCTTCTTCTACTATATCTCCGTGTATAAACCACTTCTTCTTCTACTATATCTCCGTGTATAAACCACTTCTTCTTCTACTATATCTCTGTGTATAAACCACTTCTTCTTCTACTATATCTCTGCGTATAAACCACTTCTTCTTCTACTATATCTCCGTGTATAAACCACTTCTTCTTCTACTATATCTCCGTGTATAAACCACTTCTTCTTCTACTATATCTCCGTGTATAAACCACTTCTTCTTCTACTATATCTCTGTGTATAAACCACTTCTTCTTCTACTATATCTCCGTGTATAAACCACTTCTTCTTCTACTATATCTCCGTGTATAAACCACTTCTTCTTCTACTATATCTCCGTGTATAAACCACTTCTTCTTCTACTATATCTCTGTGTATAAACCACTTCTTCTTCTACTATATCTCCGTGTATAAACCACTTCTTCTTCTACTATATCTCCGTGTATAAACCACTTCTTCTTCTACTATATCTCCGTGTATAAACCACTTCTTCTTCTACTATATCTCTGTGTATAAACCACTTCTTCTTCTACTATATCTCCGTGTATAAACCACTTCTTCTTCTACTATATCTCTGTGTATAAACCACTTCTTCTTCTACTATATCTCTGTGTATAAACCACTTCTTCTTCTACTATATCTCTGTGTATAAACCACTTCTTCTTCTACTATATCTCCGTGTATAAACCACTTCTTCTTCTACTATATCTCTGTGTATAAACCACTTCTTCTTCTACTATATCTCCGTGTATAAACCACTTCTTCTTCTACTATATCTCTGTGTATAAACCACTTCTTCTTCTACTATATCTCTGTGTATAAACCCGGCAGACTGCAGCGCCAGGATACGTCACGTCCTGTCCCACGTCTGTTATTCACCACTGCCCTGACGTCAGATGAACCCCAAGAATAGGTCTGAGAGATTTGAAATGTCCACTGACTCTAACATGTGCAGACACTGTTCCGAGCTCATTTCCTCTGGTTTTAGAACAAGTGCGAGGGACCGTACAGCTATCAATCAATCAATCATTAAAGTATTTGTATAGCCCAGCGCAATCTAAAAACACTGATCCAAACGCATAAAATACAATAATTTCATATCACAACAGGGCAGCTTAAACGTATTGTGTTTAAAATCATAATAAAACACACATGTTTTCAGTCTAGTTTTGCACATGGTCCGTGTTAGGCAGTATTTTAAAGCCAAACCTCAGACCCAGAGGTTTGAGGAGGTCGGACTCACTTGAGGATCATCTGGAAGGAGCTGTAGTTGAAGGTGTAGCCGCCCACCACCCACATGACCTTCTCCTGCACCACGGCCTTATGGGAGGCCCGGGCCAGGGAGGTGCCGAAGGGCTTGACACTGGGCAGGATCCAGAAGGACTCTGTGGACGGGACAGTCAGGGAGCAGTCCGGGCCTGAGGAGCAGAGAGACCGTGGGCTGTGAGATCACCTCCATATTTAGAGTCCACATCGCGATTGGTTAAAGCTCCGGTCCGTGGGTCAGATGCAGCCAGTGTCATGCACAGAGTTCACAGTGTCATACAGCCAACTTCAGCTCTACCAATATATGCTGAATCTTTCAGTAAAGCTAGTTTTTTTGTATTTACTTGTTTTGGATTGTGGCGTTGATGGTGTATATCTGTGCGTGTGTTGATGGTGTATATCTGTGTGTGTGTGTGTGTTGATGGTGTATATCTGTGTGTGTGTGTGTGTTGATGGTGTATATCTGTGTGTGTGTGTGTGTGTGTTGATGGTGTATATCTGTGTGTGTGTGTGTGTTGATGGTGTATATCTGTGTGTGTGTGTGTGTGTGTTGATGGTGTATATCTGTGTGTGTGTGTGTGTGTTGATGGTGTATATCTGTTTTGTGTGTGTTGATGGTGTATATCTGTGTGTGTGTGTGTGTTGATGGTGTATATCTGTGTGTGTGTGTGTGTTGATGGTGTATATCTGTGTGTGTGTGTGTGTTGATGGTGTATATCTGTGTGTGTGTGTGTGTTGATGGTGTATATCTGTGTGTGTGTGTTGATGGTGTATATCTGTGTGTGTGTTGATGGTGTATATCTGTGTGTGTGTGTGTGTTGATGGTGTATATCTGTGTGTGTGTTGATGGTGTATATCTGTGTTTGTGTGTGTGTGTCTGTGTTGATGGTGTTTATCTGTGTGTGTCTGTGTTGATGGTGTTTATCTGTGTGTGTGTGTGTTGATGGTGTATATCTGTGTGTGTTGATGGTACAGAACATTCAAATGCAGAAAAACATTGTTAAATTGCTAAATCTTGTGTTTCTGTGTAGTTCCTTCAGGTCCGGTCTCTGCAGCTCGAGACCTTTATCGACCTGCTCCCAAACCACGTCTCAGCTGCTCGGTCTCGTCTGGTTCCACATTCTTCATTCCTCAGACCTCGGGAAGAGCCTCAGACCTCGGGAAGAGCCTCAGACCTCGGGAAGAGCCTCAGACCTCGGGAAGAGCCACAGGCCAAAGGGAGCGGCCGAATGTTTCACAACCTCTGGATACCGCGCTCTGTCACACGCGCATCTGTCCTCCTCCCCTGCTGCTTAATGTTTCACAATCTGGCAACCAACTCAGTCCAGCTACGCTAATGCAAGAAGCGCTATGCCGGCTTCTACACGGATCAAAACAAAACCACAACCCCGAATAACAAGATGTGTCCAGGACTCATTTGAAAAAGAGGTTATTAATCTCAATGGGACTTTAAAAAGGTTAAATAAATAAGAAAAATAAAACAACAGTCCAACAATAGTGTGTTTTCCTTATTGCCGATAAGAGCTAGAGTTTCGCTTTTCAGCCCGAGCCCGAGCAGGCCCGAGGCCCGACCTGAGTTTGGGCCGGGCTCGGGCCTCATTTGGTGCTCAGCTGTCGGGTTCGTGCCGTGCTCGGGCTTCTTTTTTTAAATATATGTTTATTTTTTATTATTATTATTATTTTTAAATGATTTTTATACATAATGATATGCATATATAAATATTAATAACAATGTCCGTTGATTGACAACAAGTTTTTAAAAAAAGTGAATATATTAATGACACCGTAACCAGCGTGTCCTACAGCAGCAGCGAGCCGTGAACGCATCATCCCGGTGTCTCCTGCTGCTGTGGTCAACAGGAACAGGAACAATAGTAGAAATGGATCAAGTGGAGACAAAACAAATTCAAAAGTGGAGACTAAACTTGCAATTGGAGGTGAGTGCGTACAACGGGAAATCAGATGTGTCGGGTTCTGTCGGGCTCGGACCTGTTATACAGCGTTCATTGGTCGGGCTTATACGGGCTCGGGCTTAACATTAGCGGGTCGGGCTTCATTTTTCAGGCCCGAACAAAACTCTAATAAGAGCCGATTCAAACAGGCTCCATGGGAAAGAATCTGCAGCTAAAATTGTGGGTAGCAACAACCTAGCAACCAAAAAGCCAATCAGATGCAGTGATGGCTGTGTACGCTCATACAGAAGGCACCTGATTGGTCGGTTGTTAGGAGACATATCTGGGTTTATAAAGACTGTCTATCTTTATCTATTTCCTGATTCAAGACAGCGCACATCTAGATCATCTTCATCATCTAGATCATCTTCATCATCTAGATCATCTTCATCATCTCGTAAAAACCACATAATTAAAGTTAAATTAAATTACAATAATAAATAGGGGGTGGAAGTTTAAAAGTCTTAACTTCTTCCCACTCCTTTTCGAGCTGATTTTTTATTAAAGCTGCACTAACTTTGTGAAATTGTCAAATGTGAGCGCTCCCCCTCCCCGCACGGAGCGTTCTCCCCCTCCCCGCACGGAGCTTTCTCCCCCTCCCCGCACGGAGCGTTCTCCCCCTCCCCGCACGGAGCGTTCTCCCCCTCCCCGCACGGAGCGTTCTCCCCCTCCCCGCACGGAGCGTTCTCCCCCTCCCCGCACGGAGCGTTCTCCCCCTCCCCGCACGGAGCTTTCTCCCCCTCCCCGCACGGAGCGTTCTCCCCCTCCCCGCACGGAGCTTTCTCCCCCTCCCCGCACGGAGCTTTCTCCCCCTCCCCGCACGGAGCTTTCTCCCCCTCCCCGCACGGAGCTTTCTCCCCCTCCCCGCACGGAGCTTTCTCCCCCTCCCCGCACGGAGCGTTCTCCCCCTCCCCGCACGGAGCTTTCTCCCCCTCCCCGCACGGAGCTTTCTCCCCCTCCCCGCACGGAGCTTTCTCCCCCTCCCCGCACGGAGCTTTCTCCCCCTCCCCGCACGGAGCGTTCTCCCCCTCCCCGCACGGAGCTTTCTCCCCCTCCCCGCACGGAGCGTTCTCCCCCTCCCCGCACGGAGCTTTCTCCCCCTCCCCGCACGGAGCTTTCTCCCCCTCCCCGCACGGAGCGTTCTCCCCCTCCCCGCACGGAGCTTTCTCCCCCTCCCCGCACGGAGCTTTCTCCCCCTCCCCGCACGGAGCTTTCTCCCCCTCCCCGCACGGAGCTTTCTCCCCCTCCCCGCACGGAGCTTTCTCCCCCTCCCCGCACGGAGCTTTCTCCCCCTCCCCGCACGGAGCTTTCTCCCCCTCCCCGCACGGAGCGTTCACCGTTTCTTAGTCACATGTCAGTCCCACCTCAGTCCCACCTCAGTCCCACCTCAGTCCCACCTCAGTCCCACCTCAGTCCCACCTCAGTCCCACCCCTCAGTCCCACCCCTCAGTCCCACCCCTCAGTCCCACCCCTCAGTCCCACCTCAGTCCCACCTCAGTCCCACCCCTCAGTCCCACCTCAGTCCCACACCTCAGTCCCACCTCAGTCCCACACCTCAGTCCCACCTCAGTCCCACCTCAGTCCCACACCTCAGTCCCACCTCAGTCCCACCCCTCAGTCCCACCTCAGTCCCACCCCTCAGTCCCACCCCTCAGTCCCACCCCTCAGTCCCACCCCTCAGTCCCACCTCAGTCCCACCTCAGTCCCACCCCTCAGTCCCACCTCAGTCCCACCCCTCAGTCCCACCCCTCAGTCCCACCTCAGTCCCACCTCAGTCCCACCTCAGTCCCACCTCAGTCCCACCTCAGTCCCACCTCAGTCCCACCTCAGTCCCACACCTCAGTCCCACACCTCAGTCCCACCTCAGTCCCACCTCAGTCCCACCTCAGTCCCACCCCTCAGTCCCACCCCTCAGTCCCACCCCTCAGTCCCACCTCAGTCCCACCTCAGTCCCACCTCAGTCCCACCTCAGTCCCACCTCAGTCCCACCTCAGTCCCACCTCAGTCCCACACCTCAGTCCCACCTCAATCCCACCTCAATCCCACACCTCAGTCCCACCTCAGTCCCACCTCAGTCCCACACCTCAGTCCCACACCTCAGTCCCACCTCAGTCCCACCTCAGTCCCACCTCAGTCCCACCTCAGTCCCACCTCAGTCCCACACCTCAGTCCCACACCTCAGTCCCACCTCAGTCCCACCTCAGTCCCACCTCAGTCCCACCTCAGTCCCACCTCAGTCCCACCTCAGTCCCACCCCTCAGTCCCACCCCTCAGTCCCACCTCAGTCCCACCTCAGTCCCACCTCAGTCCCACCTCAGTCCCACCTCAGTCCCACACCTCAGTCCCACCTCAGTCCCACCTCAGTCCCACCTCAATCCCACACCTCAGTCCCACCTCAGTCCCACCTCAGTCCCCACACCTCAGTCCCACACCTCAGTCCCACACCTCAGTCCCACCTCAGTCCCACCTCAGTCCCACCTCAGTCCCACCTCAGTCCCACCTCAGTCCCACACTCAGTCCCACCTCAGTCCCACCTCAGTCCCACCTCAGTCCCACCTCAGTCCCACCTCAGTCCCACCTCAGTCCCACCTCAGTCCCACACCTCAGTCCCACACCTCAGTCCCACACCTCAGTCCCACACCTCAGTCCCACACCTCAGTCCCACCTCAGTCCCACCTCAGTCCCACCTCAGTCCCACACCTCAGTCCCACCTCAGTCCCACCTCAGTCCCACCTCAGTCCCACCTCAATCCCACACCTCAGTCCCACCTCAGTCCCACACCTCAGTCCCACCTCAGTCCCACCTCAGTCCCACCCCTCAGTCCCACCCCTCAGTCCCACCTCAGTCCCACCTCAGTCCCACCTCAGTCCCACACCTCAGTCCCACCTCAGTCCCACCTCAGTCCCACCCCTCAGTCCCACCCCTCAGTCCCACCCTCAGTCCCACCTCAGTCCCACCTCAGTCCCACCTCAGTCCCCCCTCAGTCCCCCTCAGTCCCACCTCAGTCCCACCTCAGTCCCACCTCAGTCCCACACCTCAGTCCCACACCTCAGTCCCACACCTCAGTCCCACACCTCAGTCCCACACCTCAGTCCCACCTCAGTCCCACCTCAGTCCCACCTCAGTCCCACCTCAGTCCCACCTCAGTCCCACCTCAGTCCCACCTCAGTCCCACCTCAGTCCCACCTCAGTCCCACCTCAGTCCCACCTCAGTCCCACACCTCAGTCCCACACCTCAGTCCCACCTCAGTCCCACCTCAGTCCCACCTCAGTCCCACCTCAGTCCCACACCTCAGTCCCACACCTCAGTCCCACCTCAGTCCCACCTCAGTCCCACACCTCAGTCCCACCTCAGTCCCACCTCAGTCCCACCTCAGTCCCACACCTCAGTCCCACCCCTCACAGTCCCACACCTCAGTCCCACCTCAGTCCCACCTCAGTCCCACCTCAGTCCCACCTCAGTCCCACCTCAGTCCCACACCTCAGTCCCACCTCAGTCCCACCTCAGTCCCACCTCAGTCCCACCTCAGTCCCACCTCAGTCCCACCTCAGTCCCACCTCAGTCCCACACCTCAGTCCCACACCTCAGTCCCACACCTCAGTCCCACACCTCAGTCCCACCTCAGTCCCACCTCAGTCCCACCTCAGTCCCACCTCAGTCCCACCTCAGTCCCACCTCAGTCCCACCTCAGTCCCACCTCAGTCCCACCTCAGTCCCACCTCAGTCCCACCTCAGTCCCACACACCTCAGTCCCACACCTCAGTCCCACCTCAGTCCCACCTCAGTCCCACCTCAGTCCCACCTCAGTCCCACCTCAGTCCCACACCTCAGTCCCACACCTCAGTCCCACCTCAGTCCCACCTCAGTCCCACCTCAGTCCCACCTCAGTCCCACCTCAGTCCCACCTCAGTCCCACACCTCAGTCCCACCTCAGTCCCACCTCAGTCCCACCTCAGTCCCACCTCAGTCCCACCCCTCAGTCCCACCCCTCAGTCCCACCTCAGTCCCACCTCAGTCCCACCTCAGTCCCACCTCAGTCCCACACCTCAGTCCCACCTCAGTCCCACCTCAGTCCCACCCCTCAGTCCCACCTCAGTCCCACCCCTCAGTCCCACCCCTCAGTCCCACCTCAGTCCCACCTCAGTCCCACCTCAGTCCCACCTCAGTCCCACCTCAGTCCCACCTCAGTCCCACCTCAGTCCCACACCTCAGTCCCACCTCAGTCCCACCTCAGTCCCACCTCAGTCCCACACCTCAGTCCCACACCTCAGTCCCACCTCAGTCCCACCTCAGTCCCACACCTCAGTCCCACCTCAGTCCCACCGCAGTCCCACCTCAGTCCCACCTCAGTCCCACCTCAGTCCCACCTCAGTCCCACCTCAGTCCCACCTCAGTCCCACCCCTCAGTCCCACCCCTCAGTCCCACCTCAGTCCCACCTCAGTCCCACACCTCAGTCCCACCTCAGTCCCACACCTCAGTCCCACCTCAGTCCCACACCTCAGTCCCACCTCAGTCCCACACCTCAGTCCCACCTCAGTCCCACCTCAGTCCCACCTCAGTCCCACCTCAGTCCCACCTCAGTCCCACCTCAGTCCCACCTCAGTCCCACCTCAGTCCCACCTCAGTCCCACCTCAGTCCCACCTCAGTCCCACCTCAGTCCCACCTCAGTCCCACCTCAGTCCCACCTCAGTCCCACACCTCAGTCCCACCTCAGTCCCACCTCAGTCCCACCTCAGTCCCACCTCAGTCCCACCTCAGTCCCACCTCAGTCCCACCTCAGTCCCACCCCTCAGTCCCACCCCTCAGTCCCACCTCAGTCCCACCTCAGTCCCACACCTCAGTCCCACCTCAGTCCCACACCTCAGTCCCACCTCAGTCCCACACCTCAGTCCCACCTCAGTCCCACCTCAGTCCACACCTCAGTCCCACCTCAGTCCCACCTCAGTCCCACCTCAGTCCCACCTCAGTCCCACCTCAGTCCCACCTCAGTCCCACCTCAGTCCCACCTCAGTCCCACCTCAGTCCCACCTCAGTCCCACCTCAGTCCCACCTCAGTCCCACACCTCAGTCCCACCTCAGTCCCACCTCAGTCCCACCTCAGTCCCACCTCAGTCCCACCTCAGTCCCACCTCAGTCCCACCTCAGTCCCACACCTCAGTCCCACCTCAGTCCCACCTCAGTCCCACCTCAGTCCCACCTCAGTCCCACTCAGTCCCAGTCCCACCTCAGTCCCACCTCAGTCCCACCTCAGTCCCACCTCAGTCCCACCTCAGTCCCACCTCAGTCCCACCTCAGTCCCACCTCAGTCCCACCTCAGTCCCACCCTCAGTCCCACCTCAGTCCCACCTCAGTCCCACCCTCAGTCCCACCTCAGTCCCACCTCAGTCCCACCTCAGTCCCACCTCAGTCCCACCTCAGTCCCACCTCAGTCCCACCTCAGTCCCACCTCAGTCCCACCTCAGTCCCACCTCAGTCCCACCTCAGTCCCACCTCAGTCCCACCTCAGTCCCACCTCAGTCCCACCTCAGTCCCACCTCAGTCCCACCTCAGTCCCACCTCAGTCCCACCTCAGTCCCACCTCAGTCCCACACCTCAGTCCCACACCTCAGTCCCACCTCAGTCCCACACTCAGTCCACCTCAGTCCCACCTCAGTCCCACCTCAGTCCCACCTCAGTCCCACCTCAGTCCCACCTCAGTCCCACCTCAGTCCCACCTCAGTCCCACCTCAGTCCCACCTCAGTCCCCACCTCAGTCCCACCTCAGTCCCACCTCAGTCCCACCTCAGTCCCACCTCAGTCCCACCTCAGTCCCACTCAGTCCCACCTCAGTCCCACCTCAGTCCCACTCAGTCCCACCCTCAGTCCCACCTCAGTCCCACCTCAGTCCCACCTCAGTCCCACCTCAGTCCCACCTCAGTCCCACCTCAGTCCCACCTCAGTCCCACCTCAGTCCCACCTCAGTCCCACCTCAGTCCCACCTCAGTCCCACCTCAGTCCCACCTCAGTCCCACCTCAGTCCCACCTCAGTCCCACCTCAGTCCCACCTCAGTCCCACCTCAGTCCCACCTCAGTCCCACCTCAGTCCCACCTCAGTCCCACCTCAGTCCCACCTCAGTCCCACCCCTCAGTCCCCCCCTCAGTCCCACCTCAGTCCCACCTCAGTCCCACCTCAGTCCCACCTCAGTCCCACACCTCAGTCCCACCTCAGTCCCACCTCAGTCCCACCTCAGTCCCACCCCTCAGTCCCACCCCTCAGTCCCACCCTCAGTCCCACCTCAGTCCCACCTCAGTCCCACCCCTCAGTCCCACCCTCAGTCCCACCCTCAGTCCCACCTCAGTCCCACCTCAGTCCCACCTCAGTCCCACCTCAGTCCCACCTCAGTCCCACCTCAGTCCCACCTCAGTCCCACCTCAGTCCCACCTCAGTCCCACCTCAGTCCCACCTCAGTCCCACCTCAGTCCCACCTCAGTCCCACCTCAGTCCCACCTCAGTCCCACCTCAGTCCCACCTCAGTCCCACCTCAGTCCCACCTCAGTCCCACCTCAGTCCCACCTCAGTCCCACCTCAGTCCCACCTCAGTCCCACCCTCAGTCCCACCCTCAGTCCCACCCTCAGTCCCACCTCAGTCCCACCCTCAGTCCCACCTCAGTCCCACACCTCAGTCCCACCTCAGTCCCACTCAGTCCCACCACCCACTCAGTCCCACCTCAGTCCCACACCTCAGTCCCACCTCAGTCCCACCTCAGTCCCACACCTCAGTCCCACCTCAGTCCCACCTCAGTCCCACCTCAGTCCCACCTCAGTCCCACCTCAGTCCCACCTCAGTCCCACCTCAGTCCCACCTCAGTCCCACCTCAGTCCCACCTCAGTCCCACCTCAGTCCCACCTCAGTCCCACCTCAGTCCCACCTCAGTCCCACCTCAGTCCCACCTCAGTCCCACCTCAGTCCCACCTCAGTCCCACCCCAGTCCCACCTCAGTCCCACCTCAGTCCCATGAATGCAGGAGTGTGGGTCACCTTGCCAGCTGTCGTTGCACACACAGAGCTTCTCCCCGGTGAGGTCGCAGTAGCCGTGGTCGGGGCTGCCGCAGTTGTTCCTGCAGTAGGGGATGTCGCAGGCCTCTCCTTTCCAGTACTTGTCACACTCACAGTAGACCCGGCTGGCGATGGAGTTCCCCGTGGTGCATTTACCGTGGCCCGAGCAGTTATTAGGACAAGAGTTTATTCTGGACCGGAACGAAAACAGATATTATAGATGCAGCGTATCTATGGCCATTTAAAACAGACAAAACTATGCATTTTCAATACATTTGCTAGATTCATTTTTAATAGTCATTTTTGTCATGAGCATCAGGAGCTTTACGTCTAAACCAGGGGCTGCAGGTTTTCATTCCAACCAAGCAAGAAGCACACAAGACTCCGCCCATTTCCTCAAGTCCAGTCTAAACCTGAAGACCTGAGGAAATGGCTGGAGTCTAGTGTTGCTTTTCTTTGGTAAAAACCTACAGCCACACCGGCCTTTTCTGGAACTAGCTGCAGAGCCCTGGTCTAGATTATGAAGTAGTAAATACAAGTTCCTATAAAAGTACTATTGGTGGTTAAAAATACAGAAAAAAATAAAAGAATGAGAGTTGAGATTCTAGCACAATATCCCTAAAAATATTCATGTCTAGTGGGAGATTTTCTTCTTATCACTCCTTTTTGAGCCAAACTCCACCAGATTAAATTATAATGACATAATGACTACAACTTCCATCCATCCATCCATGTTCTTCCCTTTAATCCATTTCTGGGTCAGGGGGGTGGCGGTCAGAGATGCACCAGCCCCTCACTGACCCTCTGCAGGTGGTGAGTCCACAGGAGGACGGCTGCTCTCTGAGTGTGAGCATAGCCTTGATCTTTCAGTGGGGGCTTTGGGCAAAGTGGGGTTAAGTGTCTTGCCCAAGGACGCAACGACAGCAGTCATCAGTGGGAGTCGGAATTGAACCCACGACCTTCTGGGCTTAAGGCCAATGCTCTACCAACTGAGCTACTGTCGCCCCCAGTTGACTACAACTTAACTACCACTAATGCTACTGCTACTTAACTACTACTACAACTACTGCTACTATTACTATTATTATTACTATTAATCTTGTACAGATCCTCCCTGTACCTTGTTTGTTTTGTCCTTCATGTGTTGCTCATGTAAGTGCGTACATTTGTATGTTTTAAAGTATTAAAATCAGATCATATCTTTGTAATGTTCTAATTTACTTTTCAAACAAGACAAGGATCCTCAAAGCTACTTCCTGGTTCCATAAACGCAAGTAAAGAAACAAAACCTCAGTCCGTGTGAAACCTGCCCTTAATCCCCAAGATACTCACGAGTAAAATATATGAAATCCCGTCAGGTTATACGCCGCGTCGCTGAAAAAGTGAAGTAGTGCGTATCCCGACGTGGTCTCCACCTCGGGGACGGTCTCGTTTCCTCTGACCTCAGGTACGATAAGGCCACTGGAGAGCACAGGGACCACAGTCTCAGAGCCAGTAACATTAAAGGGGAAGTACTGGTCCGACGCCTCACCTGAAGACGGCCACCAGGGGGGCGTATATGGAGTCCCCATCGTAGACGTACATGTGGTCCCAGCTGCACTCTGTGGCAAAGTGGTTGAACCGTAAGCGAAGGACGGCGTTGGGACTGAAAACACACAGATTATTATTAAAAACATACACAAGGATCATCAAAGCAGTTACACAAACATCTGTTACTCTATAGTATTTATATTTATCATTATAACTCATTCATTTGGTCTGTGTTTACGTAAAGAAGTGTAAAGTTATGACCCACTGAAGGATAAACCGTGACTGAGTTAAAAAGGTTCTCTTCTTGAGTTTAGCCTTTGCTGAAACCCAAACAGAATTGTTCCCATTTGTAAAAAGAGTAAGTTTTTAAGATAATATTGTTGATGTCGTGTAGAAAGAACCTGGGACTGGAGCTGAAAATGAGCAGTATCTATAAACTCTTTAAAGTGATTGTCTGGAGTTTGTCAGAAAGAGAGACAGAGAGGTACTTGATTTTAAAAAAACGACGCAAGCTCCTCCCCCTTCCTTTCTGATTGGTCTACACCTACGTTTCCGTAACACTTTGAAATGTTAATCAGAGAACATATTATACATATACATTATTAATACACATGCACGGAGGTTTTCAGAATTATTTGTGAACGTTTTAATGAAAAAAAATATGTTTTTATGCACAAAAAAGCGATCGCGGCAAACCAGGAAGTGCTATTATTATGAATTGCACATTATAGAAACATCTGCAGAGGATCTGATTATGGATATAGGTTCAGTATATACATAAGTACCTCAGCGCGGATGTTCAGAATTCTTTGTTCAGTTTTCATGTAGTTCCAGAGCCTAATAGAGGCTCCGCAAAAACAAACAACTGAGCATGCGCGCAGCTGCGAGCATCAGCGCCGATGATTGACAGCTCTTGGCATGACTCGATTGGTTAACCTCGACGGCACCGTGGATTCTGAACTATAGCTAAGAGAAGGGAAGGCGGGACTTACCCGTAATATTAGAATTAATAAAATGACTTATTTTATATCAACATTTAAGGCCAGGAGGTCAATTTAACACATTTCCTAAAATTTGTAATTCATTTAGAGTTACAGACTATCACTTTAAGCATCAGCTGTTCTGTGTTGACCTGTAATGTTCCTGTCAAATAAGATCAATAAATAAATAAATATCTATCGTCTGTGCTTTCCTCGTGTTGAACAGAGACACAATGTATTTATTTATTTGTTTTATCATCGTCTGATAAATAAGTAAAGGAAACTTGATTCATTGACTGCCCCTGACTCGACTGGGGATTACAGGAGACAAAAAATAGCTAAAAACCAACTTATTTTTTCTGATGAAAGTAGACAATCCAGTCTTTCAGAATCTGGTTTCAAACTTCCACAGAGTCAACTCACTGACTTCATAGACTTTCTCTGAATTTATTTATTTATTTATTTATTTGAATGGGACAGTGCATGTCAATGAACAGACATTAAAAACATGAATGTAAACATGCCAGATTATAGCCAAAGGCTAATTTCCATTATCTTATATTATCTTAAATCTCTAAAGCTCATCTCTTTTACTTAGAGAACATAAGTTTATTTAAATCTATACTTGAACTGTTTTATACGTGCCCACAGTCCCAGAATGATCTACGTGTGTGATGCTAGTTTCTCCTTTATGAGAATCTATTCACATGAATCTCTGAAAGAAAAGGTCAAGTTGCATTTATGATTGAAAAACCCATCCCAATAATCAGCGGCGCCCCCTGCAGGAGTGGATGATGGGAGCTCATGTGCACAGCGGCGCCCCCTGCAGGAGTGGATGATGGGAGCTCATGTGCACAGCGGCGCCCCCTGCAGGAGTGGATGATGGGAGCTCATGTGCACAGCGGCGCCCCCTGCAGGAGTGGATGATGGGAGTTCATGTGCACAGCGGCGCCCCCTGCAGGAGTGGATGATGGGAGCTCATGTGCACAGCGACGCCCCCTGCAGGAGTGGATGATGGGAGCTCATGTGCACAGCGACGCCCCCTGCAGGAGTGGATGATGGGAGCTCATGTGCACAGCGACGCCCCCTGCAGGAGTGGATGATGGGAGCTCATGTGCACAGCGGCGCCCCCTGCAGGAGTGGATGATGGGAGCTCATGTGCACAGCGGCGCCCCCTGCAGGAGTGGATGATGGGAGTTCATGTGCACAGCGACGCCCCCTGCAGGAGTGGATGATGGGAGCTCATGTGCACAGCGGCGCCCCCTGCAGGAGTGGATTATGGGAGTTCATGTGCACAGCGGCGCCCCCTGCAGGAGTGGATGATGGGAGCTCATGTGTTGTGTGTGATAATTGTTGAAAAACTTACTATCCCTCGATGAGCCACGTGCACTTTGTTTTGTATTTGTAGTGGATGGGACCGTCTGTGAGGAACCCCGACGGCTCCGTCAGTCTGGAAAACAGAGTTTAAAAAATTTGTTGTATTAGTAACCAGAGCTCGTTGTTAATAATAATCCCAAAGCAACAGACTTTCCTCTTTTTGGCAGAGAAAAAGAAACAGCGAGACTATCTCACTGCAGTTTCTCGTAAAACTATTGGAATTCTCTCAATTGTGAAAAAATAAAATGATGATAAACTAATAAACCCTTTCCAAATGCAAATGTGAAGAGATGAGATCAGTGAAAAAAGTCAAATCTTGGTTAAAAATAAAAAATTAAAAAAAAAAGCAGGAGGATCAGTGAGGGGCTGGTGCTCTGTGTACTGGGTGGCATCACTGACTGCCACCCCCGACCCAGACATGGATTAAGGGGAAGAAAATGGTTGGCATCATCCTGGCCCCATGAAATAGACAACAAGAAGGACACTTTCACATTCTACATGTACGGACCATCAACATTCATGGACATTGGTCTCTTCCTATGGTCCAATACCATGTGGTCTCTCCCTATGGACCAATACCATGTGGTCTCTCCCTATGGACCAATACCATGTGGTCTCTCCCTATGGACCAATACCATGTGGTCTCTCCCTATGGTCCAATACCATGTGGTCTCTCCCTATGGACCAATACCATGTGGTCTCTCCCTATGGACCAATACCATGTGGTCTCTCCCTATGGACCAATACCATGTGGTCTCTCCCTATGGACCAATACCATGTGGTCTCTCCCTATGGACCAATACCATGTGGTCTCTCCCTATGGACCAATACCATGTGGTCTCTCCCTATGGACCAATACCATGTGGTCTCTCCCTATGGACCAATACCATGTGGTCTCTCCCTATGGTCCAATACCATGTGGTCTCTCCCTATGGTCCAATACCATGTGGTCTCTCCCTATGGACCAATACCATGTGGTCTCTCCCTATGGTCCAATACCATGTGGTCTCTCCCTATGGTCCAATACCATGTGGTCTCTCCCTATGGTCCAATACCATGTGGTCTGTGTTGCTGATTTCAAGGGTTTTGTTAAGTCTCTGATGATGCTGTTGTGACAAGAATAAATTGTTTGTGTTGTATTGTGTTTTGACACGTCACAAAACCACAACTGTGTGCGTCTTTAAATGTATAAATGTCCTTTTGACCATAAGAGACGCAGTGTTGCATCATGGGACGAACATATCTGTTTGTTAGAAGACAAATGAGCGGTTGGTGCTCGGAGCCACAGACCTCCATCTCCTGCTCCACAATGGACCGTTTACATCAGGCACCACTGCAGCCGTCACTCCACAGTTAGATATGTGTGTGTGTTTACATCAGGCACCACTGCAGCCTTCACTCCACAGTTAGATGTGTGTGTGTGTTTACATCAGGCACCACTGCAGCCTTCACTCCACAGTTAGATATGTGTGTGTGTTTACATCAGGCACCACTGCAGCCGTCACTCCACAGTTAGATATGTGTGTGTGTTTACATCAGGCACCACTGCAGCCGTCACTCCACAGTTAGATATGTGTGTGTGTTTACATCAGGCACCACTGCAGCCGTCACTCCACAGTTAGATGTGTGTGTGTGTTTACATCAGGCACCACTGCAGCCTTCACTCCACAGTTAGATATGTGTGTGTGTTTACATCAGGCACCACTGCAGCCTTCACTCCACAGTTAGATATGTGTGTGTGTTTACATCAGGCACCACTGCAGCCTTCACTCCACAGTTAGATATGTGTGTGTGTTTACATCAGGCACCACTGCAGCCGTCACTCCACAGTTAGATATGTGTGTGTGTTTACATCAGGCACCACTGCAGCCGTCACTCCACAGTTAGATGTGTGTGTGTGTTTACATCAGGCACCACTGCAGCCGTCACTCCACAGTTAGATATGTGTGTGTGTTTACATCAGGCACCACTGCAGCCGTCACTCCACAGTTAGATATGTGTGTGTGTTTACATCAGGCACCACTGCAGCCGTCACTCCACAGTTAGATATGTGTGTGTGTTTACATCAGGCACCACTGCAGCCGTCACTCCACAGTTAGATGTGTGTGTGTGTTTACATCAGGCACCACTGCAGCCTTCACTCCACAGTTAGATATGTGTGTGTGTTTACATCAGGCACCACTGCAGCCTTCACTCCACAGTTAGATATGTGTGTGTGTTTACATCAGGCACCACTGCAGCCTTCACTCCACAGTTAGATATGTGTGTGTGTTTACATCAGGCACCACTGCAGCCGTCACTCCACAGTTAGATGTGTGTGTGTGTTTACATCAGGCACCACTGCAGCCTTCACTCCACAGTTAGATATGTGTGTGTGTTTACATCAGGCACCACTGCAGCCTTCACTCCACAGTTAGATATGTGTGTGTGTTTACATCAGGCACCACTGCAGCCGTCACTCCACAGTTAGATATGTGTGTGTGTTTACATCAGGCACCACTGCAGCCGTCACTCCACAGTTAGATATGTGTGTGTGTTTACATCAGGCACCACTGCAGCCTTCACTCCACAGTTAGATATGTGTGTGTGTTTACATCAGGCACCACTGCAGCCGTCACTCCACAGTTAGATGTGTGTGTGTGTTTACATCAGGCACCACTGCAGCCTTCACTCCACAGTTAGATATGTGTGTGTGTTTACATCAGGCACCACTGCAGCCTTCACTCCACAGTTAGATATGTGTGTGTTGTTTACATCAGGCACCACTGCAGCCTTCACTCCACAGTTAGATATGTGTGTGTGTTTACATCAGGCACCACTGCAGCCTTCACTCCACAGTTAGATGTGTGTGTGTGTTTACATCAGGCACCACTGCAGCCGTCACTCCACAGTTAGATATGTGTGTGTGTTTACATCAGGCACCACTGCAGCCGTCACTCCACAGTTAGATATGTGTGTGTGTTTACATCAGGCACCACTGCAGCCGTCACTCCACAGTTAGATGTGTGTGTGTGTTTACATCAGGCACCACTGCAGCCGTCACTCCACAGTTAGATATGTGTGTGTGTTTACATCAGGCACCACTGCAGCCGTCACTCCACAGTTAGATGTGTGTGTGTGTTTACATCAGGCACCACTGCAGCCTTCACTCCACAGTTAGATATGTGTGTGTGTTTACATCAGGCACCACTGCAGCCTTCACTCCACAGTTAGATATGTGTGTGTGTTTACATCAGGCACCACTGCAGCCTTCACTCCACAGTTAGATATGTGTGTGTGTTTACATCAGGCACCACTGCAGCCGTCACTCCACAGTTAGATGTGTGTGTGTGTTTACATCAGGCACCACTGCAGCCGTCACTCCACAGTTAGATATGTGTGTGTGTTTACATCAGGCACCACTGCAGCCTTCACTCCACAGTTAGATATGTGTGTGTGTTTACATCAGGCACCACTGCAGCCGTCACTCCACAGTTAGATATGTGTGTGTGTTTACATCAGGCACCACTGCAGCCTTCACTCCACAGTTAGATATGTGTGTGTGTTTACATCAGGCACCACTGCAGCCGTCACTCCACATTTAGATGTGTGTGTGTTTAAAAGGCTCAGGCTGACACTAACATACACTACATACACATGACTCATTTACTTATAAACACTTTTGATATGGCAACGTCATGGTATGCACTTATGACAGGAGATTAGGGAATAAGGAGAGAGAGACAGACAGAGACGGAGAGAGAGAAAGAGAGACAGAGAAAGAGAGAGAGACAGACAGAGACAGAGAGAGACAGACAGACAGAGACAGACAAAGAGACAGAGACAGACAGAGAGACAGAGACAGACAGAGAGACAGAGACAGACAGAGACAGAGAGACAGAGACAGAGAGAGAGAGAGACAGAGACAGAGACAGAGAGACAGAGACAGACAGAGAGACAGACAGAGACAGAGAGACAGACAGAGAGAGAGACAGAGACAGAGAGACAGACAGAGAGAGAGACAGAGACAGAGACAGAGAGACAGAGACAGAGAGAGACAGAAAAAAATCTGAAAAGGCAACAACTTAATGAAAATACAGAGATTTGGCTCCTACAGTAAATATGTATGAATTCTACTTTTGTTTACCCGTGTCTGAGACTGATTATCATTTTATTATTTTATTTTTTTATTTTTTATTCCTATTTGTGTGATTTTTACCCTGTGTTTTAAATGGTTTGAATGTGAAGTGCTTTGGGGTTGCATTCTGTATGAACTCTTTTATATAAACACAAGTTTGATTTTAACTTCACAAATATAATACAAAAAACACCTTTATACAAAAAAGAAAAGCTAGCCCCGAGTTCAGCTAAAGCCAGCAGCAACACATGGTTAAGGAGCCCAGACACCATGTGTAGACACCATCAATGATTACATGTTAGAAATGATTCATATAAAACCCAGGATCTATTCAAGACGTTTAACTAAAGGCATAGAAAAGATTGTTTTGTGTGTTGAAAGCTAAACAGGAGGATGTTCTACTCCCGGGTGGACCATCAAGACGATTGGTCCTCCCAACTGTCAATCATTCTGGTGATACGTGCTCGTCCAATAAGAGCAGAGGGCGGTTCTTTCCTAACATTTGGGGAAATCCTTCTTTAAACCTGAAACTACACAAGTGCAGATCTACAGCAATAAGGTCCTGGAGTGTGGTGGTTGTTTATCTACGTTCACATGAGGAGATTTAATTAATAAAAAGGAGGATTTTCACACATTGCATTATGAAAGAAACATGATTTAAGATAGAAAAGATTATTGAATTATGTCCAGAGATGGTTTTGATGATAACTAGATAAGGTTTATACATTAATTAGTCACATGTTCTATAATATGGACAAACATGAGAATCAGAGCCACATCAGTCTGACTGTGGCGTCACTGCTGTAAATATAAACGCTTATTTTTAGGATTATTATTGTTGTTGTGTGATGTCTTTCTTATCTGGACCTCGCGTCTGTAATAAAGTTTAATAATAATAATATAACAGCTGTTTATCTGTGGTCACTTGTTCATATGAGGAGAGAAACGATGGTTGGATTATGTCGAGGTGTCGCACAAACAGCATCTTAAGGTTATAGATGTAGTGCTTGTTCATAGTAAAGGGTACGACAGTGTGACAGAGGCAAAAATATAGATTTACATAAGTAGATTTTCATGTCTCCAAATCCCTCCGGTTCATTAGTAGTTGCTAAAAGATAAGTTTTATACATGATGTTCTATAACAGCTGTTTATCTGTGGTTCAGGAGGTACAGCTTACATTAAGATAGAAACATGATTTAATTATTAAAAAAACCTTGTTGGATTATTGTTATAGATGATAACTACTTATATAACTACACTTATATAACTACAAAGAGTATTTTATTAAGACTATAGTGTAGAGCAGTTGTTTATCTACACTCACTTTAAAAGGAGGATTTTCCCAAATATCAGGAAAGAAATCACTCTGGACTTATTTGACGAGCACATGTCACCAGAATGATTGACAGTTGGGAGGACCAATAGTCTGGATGATCCACCCGGAAGTAGAACACTGTCCTCTAAACCTGTAAGCTCTCATTATGATAGAACCATGATGATCTACAAACAGCATTTAACTCAGGTTTTAGAGTGACAAGTGCTTGTTTATCTATTCTCACTTGTGCATATGAGGATGTGACGCCTGCATTATGATTAAAACATAGGTCGGCACGGTGGCTGAGTGGTTAGCACTCTCGCCTCTCAGCCCGGTCGGACCAGGGCCTTTCTGAGTGGAGTTTGCATGTTCTCCCCGTGTCTGCGTAGGTTTCCTCCGGGTACTCCGGTTTCCCCTACCACTAAAAACATGTCCAATAGTTCTGGCATGTGCCTCCTGTACTGGCCCCTCCCATCTCTGTGTGGAGTGAGAGACAAGTGCCCAAAAATAACAATTGTAAACCGCTTTGAGACTCAGATCTGCAGTGAAAAGGCGGTATATAAATAAAGATTACTAACTTACATGACTTTAGATATAAACATGTCTGCATTATGTACACAGATGTGAAGGCAGACGTGAGCCACTCTTGCAGCTGGAGATAAAAGAGTGAATAATGGCAGATGCCAGGGGCCACTCACTTGAACCTCCCGTGGCAGTGCTGACACTGGTCCCCGACCCATCCTCTGTCACAGACACACGACCCGTTGATGCACTTCCCAGAGAGGCAGCTTTTCTCACAGGGCTTTGCAGGAGACGCGTGCGTAAAGAGGACGACGTAAAACAAGACGTAAAGCACCAAGAGTCTGCTCCGAGAGTCCGCGCTGCTGTGTCCGAGAGACAAGGGACTTTTCTTACATGTTCCCCCGGGGTCCATCTTTACCGAGGGAGAGGCAGCCCGAGGCCTCCTTTCAGACTCTGCTTCTGGGGATAGAGAGAGGGAGAGCCCTGGCCACTGCTCACACTGCACAAACAAAGAGGGCTTGAGAATTCCTGGGCTGCCATGCCTTCTCTGATCCGAGCTGCACCACGCCAACGTTAGACCGCATGCTTCAGAGAAAAGGCAAGAAAAAAAAAGTTAAAAATCTCGCTCCCCAAGCTCCGTGGTCAGAGAGCTTAGATTTGGCGAGTGAGAGGAATCCCCGTCTCCGTCTGAGGCTGGAAGAAGCATCAGCGGAACCAGAACCAGGGAAAGGCAGTGGTTCGGCTCTGACTGAGACTGGGAGACCCTAATAACAACCAGACCGTTCCATTGGCTTTAGCTTTAGCTTTAGCTTGGTGTGTTACTGCAATGATTCTAGACTCTCCTCCAGAAAAGATACAGCAGCCATTTTACTCCAAACACAGCCTCCTGGATCCAGAGAGAGCGGAGAGCGGTCCGTGGAGGTCCGTGGGCCGTGGAGACGCTCTGGTTCCGGGTCTTTGAGCAGAAATGACTCAATCCTGGGAGAATGTCTGGATCTCCGGGTCCGAGCCTGTGGAGAATGTGCAGAAGGCAGATCCTGCAGAGGCTTTGGACCAGCACTTATAAGTTCGCTTGTTCTGTTTGAAAGCGGACCTACGGTGAGTGCGAAGGGTCAAACGCAGGAGGCTGGTGTGAGGCCGTCGCTGTGAGCTGTCGGTTCCCTCCGGTATCCGCGCTGTTGCTCTGTGGACATGACAAGCGGAGATGGATTTGCAAAGCAGCAGCGACACAAGAGAAAAACTAAACACGGGCTGCGCATGCGCAATGGCCCTGGTCTATTTAAAGCGACAGCGTCAGGACTGCGCGCATCTGTCGTGTTTGCGCTGTTTTTAATCCTCTGTTTATGACAAAAGCAACATTTAATACACAGGCACAGGCCACGGCTTTGGACTTAAAATACAGAACAACAGGTGGGAAGGAAACACAGGGACTGGCCTCCAGCTGGGACTCTGAGGAGCACAGGGACTGGGACTCTGAGGAGCACAGGGACTGGCCTCCTGCTGGGACTGAGGAGCACGGGGACTGGGACTCTGAGGAGCACAGGGACTGGCCTCCTGCTGGGACTCTGAGGAGCACAGGGACTGGCCTCCTGCTGGGACTCTGAGGAGCACAGGGACTGGGACTCTGAGGAGCACAGGGACTGGCCTCCTGCTGGGACTGAGGAGCACGGGGACTGGCCTCCTGCTGGGACTCTGAGGAGCACAGGGACTGGCCTCCTGCTGGGACTCTGAGGAGCACAGGGACTGGCCTCCTGCTGGGACTGAGGAGCACAGGGACTGGCCTCCTGCTGGGACTCTGAGGAGCACAGGGACTGGCCTCCTGCTGGGACTGAGGAGCACAGGGACTGGCCTCCTGCTGGGACTGAGGAGCACAGGGACTGGCCTCATGCTGGGACTGAGGAGCACAGGGACTGGCCTCCAGCTGGGACTGAGGAGCACAGGGACTGGCCTCATGCTGGGACTCTGAGGAGCACAGGGACTGGCCTCCAGCTGGGACTGAGGAGCACAGGGACTGGCCTCATGCTGGGACTCTGAGGAGCACAGGGACTGGCCTCCAGCTGGGACTGAGGAGCACAGGGACTGGCCTCATGCTGGGACTCTGAGGAGCACAGGGACTGGCCTCCAGCTGGGACTGAGGAGCACAGGGACTGGCCTCATGCTGGGACTCTGAGGAGCACAGGGACTGGCCTCCTGCTGGTCCCAGAGTCAGGACTAAACATGGGCGTTTCAGATTCATGCATCTAAAACCCGGAACAGTCTTCCTGAAAACGTGAGACAGACTTCTTCTCTGACAAGGTTTTAAATGGAGGTTAAAAACAGTTCTGTTTTTGTGATACAACTGAAGGATTTTATATTTATCCTTCTTAATGTTCTGTGATTATTTATAATTGTAATGCCTGTGCCATATAAATAAACTTGTCTGTTGTGGTTTCCATCCCTGCCTCTGGTCCTTACACTACATGCTCTTGTCTCATAATTATTACGGTTTATTTAATATTTTTGTTTTATTTAGTAATAATAAAAAACAAACCAGGTGAGAGCCATAGTGTCTGTAAAGAAACTACATATTTTAGCTGCTTTTGGAATCACTTTTGAGGAAGTAAAACAAATCTACGTATAATTTAAAAAGACCAATTGTTCTCAATAGTTTGGGGTGAACTGAACCTGAACCTCCGCATGTTCGCCTCTAGATGGCAGTGTTGTGCAGTACTTCACAGAGTACTTCAGAGAAAGGTCTTTGGGTCAAACACAAATATATTTAAAATGTCGTGTGTCACAGAAAAGGATTATTATACTATTATTATACTATGATCGTTTTGTTTTGAATATGATTACTGTAATGAAGAACAATGGACTAAACAATGAATTCATATAAATACTTAATATTGTTGCTTTGGGCTCATTTCCCGCCACAGAGCCCAAGGTTGATTATAAATAAGTATTAAAAATATAATATATACATTTGAGGGTAGATTTTGTTATTACAGTTTTTCTCAGTCGCTTTGGTGCATTTCTCACATCAGACTTAAACTTCTCAAAACTATTAGTTCAACCTCCACAACATTGGGTCATTGGTGCACGTCATCACGGCAGTTTCTCATTCCTCTGAACACTTTACAAATGCTTTCGGACATGAATCAGTAACTTTCATACAATTCTCTGCTGTTTTTTAACATCATCATTTGCTTCTGTCCTGTCAGTCAGAATGAAACATACTTATGACTTCTGAATAGTTATTCACTATAAAACTAACTGTCTTCATTTCATCGCTTTGGTCATCACATACAAAATTGCTGAACTTGTTCTCAAAATCATATTTGTCAAGCTAATTTCATACATTTCTTTATCTTTTTTTCCTGTAAATCTTTCTTAAATTTCTCTAAGGTGAATTTCAGCTTCACTCATGAGGAAGTGTGTGTTTTATTATTTACATTTGTCACAGTTCGACCATCATGATATTCAGTATGTTTGCTCTATGTATGTACTGTACATGTATGTATGATTTTTGTTGCACAATGCTGAAGAAGTGCAAAGAGCATATGCAGGAAATATGTATGTGAAAGACATGCAGTACACATACACACATACATATATATATATACATACATACAGTACATACACACATACATATATATATATACATACATACAGTACATACACACATACATATATATATATACATACATACAGTACATACACACATACATATATATATACACACATACAGTACATACACACATACATATATATATATACATACATACAGTACATACACACATACATATATATATATACATACATACAGTACATACACACATACATATATATATATACATACATACAGTACATACACACATACAGTACATATATACATACATACATACAGTACATACATACATATATGTTACAGAATGTCAGTTACTCTAAATACAGTCTTTGTGTAACTTTACTGTAGTTTTTACTGTAAATGGCTGTATAGGTCGTGTATAGTGAGCTCAGTACGACACTGAGCTCAAGTGTCGCCGAGATCTGACTTTATTACATGGAAAACACAGAGAGAGTAAAGTGTCACAATGAAAACGTGACTGAACCATTTGACTGTGTTGTTCATACTCAATTTTGTTAGGACATATTATTTTGACGACAGAGACAGTTTC